TTTAGTTTTCATTTTATTCAGTTTCAATTTATTTGCCATGAGGTACTCATTTACATCATTTAATGCGGAATTCATTTTATCAATAGCTTTACCTTAGCATGTATCGTAGCATGCCAATAGTGTATCATTTGCAAATATATTTACAAAATATTTACAAGTTTATGTCTATTTAATAAGTATAAGATAAAAAGCAGAGGTCCTAAAACGCTACCATGCGGCACGCCTATATGTATATTCAATTCCTGTGAGATATTATCTTGAGCTCTGACTTTCTATGGAATAAATAGTCAGACAACCATTTTGGTAAACATCACCATCAATGCCATAACCTCTCAATTTTATTAGAAGAATTACGGTCAATTGTTTCAAATTTATTGTTATCAACTTTTTTTATGAATTTTGATAAAGTAGTTGTAGTGCGGATACATCAGAATACACCAAGGGACTGATTAGTGATGCTAGGCGGAATGATGAGTGCATTGCTAGACGCAATTGCACTTAAAGGACAAGCCTTGGTGAATAGGGGCGATGATATTTCTGGGATCGACAGAAAAGTCAATCCAGTCATCATCATTATATATAACCTATTACTATATTCTCAAACAAAGCATCCCCCGCCACATCTGAATATTCATCTAAATGCCATAAAGGAAATATAACCGAACGGAATTTTATACTATTATCACCAATGAATGAAGTTTAAGTGTATATTCTATTAACATTTTGTATAAATTTGTTGAAAGATGATGATGTTACACGTAGGTCAAAGTGGCGCACTGCCATGCGAAGCCACGGAGTGTTCATCAAGAACGCTTCTTTATCCATTTGAAATACAACAATATAATCCTTTACATATTGTTTTTTCGTACATTCACACAGAAAAATCTGTGATAGCATACGTATGATTAAAAATGAGGTCACACATGGATGTGAAATCTTGGATCTGCTAAAGCACTGTATAGAAGTAAACACAAGTAAGTTCACTATTCGCCATAATTGGGTCAAGATTCCTCACCTCGAATTTTATGCTCAGCGAACCTACTGCACAACCGACTGAATCTGATGAATTTACCAAGCGAGCCTAGTTGAATCACGGAATGTTATTACAGAGTGTGACGTTGTAAGTGGTGGTTTTGTATTTGTGAAAAATTCGTGTCTAGTTTCAAAATGAACAAGTGCCGACCTGTGGGTTGCTGTAATTTTCAGGGTGATGTCGGCATTAATTTTTTTCGATATCCAATTGTCGAAAAAATGTATGTTTTTCTTGTATTCATTATGTAAGATTGAGGGAATGAACATATAACAAAAATCATAAAATGAATTGTTATAGACCAAATATGTGCAGACTTTCTTTATGAAATCAATTTGATGAAATTAAACTTTAGGAATAGTATATGCCTCAAAAGTAATGATATAAAATGACAAAATAATCGGAGTTTCACTGAAAATCTACAAGGGAAAATAATTGTAGGACCGCATTTTTTTATTTGTCTAGTATGTATCTGTGGGAAAAATATTACTTCCACTGAAATCTCTGCAAAACCAAAGTATCAAATGTATATTCAAACAACCTTTTTTGGAACCTACTGTTGCATACTTTTCCACCAGTTCATCCACATCAATACTGGATATGAAAAGTATTTTGATTGAAGCAATTATTAAAATTGGATTTAGAGTTAGGGGTATCATTTCAGATTTATGTTTTAATTTTGATACACTTGCCAGAAGAGATGTCAAAGTGATTGAAGAGCTGTCATATTTCTTTGTTGATGAGAAACAAA